CAGAAAACTTTAGTGATCCCTTCTGCAAAAGCTGACAGATACGTGTTTGAGGCCTTTACTGGATAATCAAACGTTTCCCTGAACTCGTCACAAATCATCCAAGGTGAGTGAGGTAGCTTTGTAAGAGTTCCTGCAATGATTGGCTACTTCAGAGGAATGAGAGGAAAAGAGAGGAAGCAAAATCCCATTTAACTGTCCTAAAATCCCATTTAGGTGTCCTTAGGCCAAAATGCTCCTTTTCTTGGTGGCATTTAATTTGCTATGTCATTCAAATCCTTAGCTACACCAGACTGCTACTTATCTTGCTTCTGCCAGGCCAAAGTTCTGCCCAGTGTAATAGTCTTCAGTCTGACCTGGGTAGATCACACACATTTTGTACCAATTTACTGGATACACTGTAACATTTCAGGTTAAAGAGAGGTGATTCGGCTGGTATTTTTAGAGAGGGCATTCAGATGACTAACATATTGGCAAAACTTCTTAGGGCCCTTCCACACAGCCGTATAACCCAGAATATAATGGCAGATAATCCATAATGGAGCCCCCAGTGGTGCAGTGGGTTAAAGCACTGAGCTGCTGAGCTTGTTGACCGAAAGGTCGCAGGTTCGAATCCGGGAAGCGGCGTGAGCTTCCACTGTCAGCTCCAGCCAACCTAGCAGTTTGAAAACATGCAAATCTGAGTAGATCAATAGGTACCACTCCAGAGGGAAGGTAACAGCGCTCCATGCAGTCATGTTGGCCACATGAACTTGGAGGTGTCTATGGACAACGCTGGCTCATCGGCTTAGAAATGGAGATGAGCACCACACCCCAGAGTCGGACACGACTGGACTTCATGTCAGGGGGAAACCTTTACCTTTAATCCATAATATCTGCTTTGAACTGGATTATCTGAGTCCACACTGTCATATTATCCAGTTTCATATGGATTGTATACAGCTGTGTGGAAGCTGTATACAATCCATATTAAAGTCAGCTTTAACATATATTTGCTTAAGTCAGCTTTTGCTAGGATCTGCTGGTTGTTAATTTGTTAAGGATTTTATTTGCTACCCAGCTGCAGCACCATTGTATGTGCCTTCAAGTCACCTCTTGACCAACATGTGCCCTATTATTATTATTATTATTATTATTATTATTATTATTATTATTATTTATATCACACCACCATCTCCCCAATGGTGACTCGGGGTGGCTTACATGAAGCCAAGCCAAACAACGCATTACAATAAAACTACAATAAAAAAATTACAATAAAATAAAACCAAGGTATAAAACAACAACACAAGTTGGATGAATCCAGAGGGCTATCCTATCCAGACCAACTCTCTGCTATGCAGGAAAATACAATCAAAACACTCCCAAGAATTCTGCCCAGCTCAATCAAAGTTGTCGAGTCATTATGTCAGAACTTCAACTCTATTTCTCTACAGTTCAGCTCTTGATTCCAACTCTTGATAAACGACAAATCTATATTAATTAGAAATAAGAAATTTACTATAGTAAAATGGTGGCATGTGTTTTAACACCTCCATGTGAATCACCAAGCTTGGGTTTATAGAATATAAAATATATTTATTTGATTAAAATTTCTGAACAAGAAAACTCTTTTAAGTTCTTATCTAATAAAATATGAAAACAACAATTTAAATAGGAGTTTTGGCAGAGAAAAAAATCTTTAAACTAAAACGTATGTAAAATTAGGATAAACAAAACATAATGTGTGTGCGCGCATGTGTAATTTGATTATCTTTAAATAATATGTATTCATAGCCAGAGTCAGCACATTTCTTCTGACCAATTACACAAAAAATTCCTTCCCATTCCAACTCTGACTTCTTGGTATCACAACCTATGATACAATCCAGGGAAACTGCTGCCACAAAATTCTACCTAAATTCTCCCCTTCGGGAAGATGGGGTGAGATCTAAATAAAGCTTATTACTATTATTTGAAACAACAAGATGAGTCCACAGCAGACAAGATCACTCTGCTGGCTGTTGTATTGGATCACACGTTGGACACTTCCCAAGTGTCTAGGACTTTGCTACTACTACTTCTATTATATCAACTAGACCTGATCCATTGAGCTGTGTGGCTCCCTCTATGGTGGGATAGACTGCTCTGTGTTCCAGATCAGGATCTCAGGCCCCTTCCACCCAGTTGAATAAAATCCCACATTATCTGCTTTGAACTGGAATAAACAACTTAAGTTCAAAGAAGATAATGTGGGATTTTCAACCTTGATACCAACCAGTCCATACTTCAGGAAATAAAGCCTGACTGCTCATTGGAGGGAAGGATAGTAGAGGCAAAGATGAAGTACTTTGGCCACATCATGAGAAGAAAGGAAAGCTTAGAGAAGACAATGATGCTGGGGAAAATGGAAGGAAAAAGGAAGAGGGCAAGATGGATGGATGGTATCCTTGAAGTGACTGGATTGACCTTGAAGGAGCTGGGGGTGGTGACGGCCAACAGGGAGCTCTGGCGTGGACTGGTCCATGAGGTCACAAAGAGTCGGAAATGACTGAATGAATGAACAACACATTCTGGATTATACAGCTGTGTGGAGGGGCCCTCAGTCTGATATTTTAACAATCATAAGATAACAGAAGAGACTTGAATTAGAGCCAGGGGTGGCTCAACCCATTACTCAAAGTAAGCATTTGCAGTATAGTTGATTTTGCCCAGGGGCGCTCTTGGGGGAAAATAGACCTTGACATATGTGAGTTGTAGTTACTGGGATGTATAGTTCACCTTCAATCAAAGAGCATTCTGAACTCCACCAATGATGGAATTGAACCAAATATGGAACACAGAACTCCCACGATGAACAGAATATATATATATATATCAGTGATTGGTTGGGGGGGGGGGTGCCAAAATATTGTTTGCTTACCGTTGAAAATTACCTAGGGCAGCCTCTGATTAGAGCCCATGCACAGTCAGGGAATGATGACCGCATGTGTGTGCACTCTACCTTCCCCAGTGCATGTATATTTTCAAAGGCATAGCCAGATAACGGACTCTCAATTCTCAATTCTTTCATTGCTGCTGTTGTTATATTTATTTGTAAGCTACTTTTCCTCTTAACAGAAACTCAAAGCAGCATACCATGGTAAAAACAATGCAATATACAACATCAAATCTAAAGATTATAAACATAATAGAACTAAGTTAAACACTATTTAAAAATAAAAAGTTAAACCCATTAAAAACCTATTAAGAATAAACAAAACACCCCTAGCTCGGTCTTAAAAATTTCCTTATTTAAAAGCCTGCTTGGAAAAAAGAGTTTTAGACTAGGTCATTAAGCTGTTTGACAATGCACAAATTAGGTTTGTAGTGAAGGGATGGTGGTCTGAAGCTTCCTTCTAATGAGGGCGGGATTCTTCAATCGTGTGAGCACAAGTTGAGATTATTCACCACTGAGTAACCTTGTTTACTCATTCATAAATTTCATTGATGGCTCATATTTTGGAAGGTCTCCATAAAATAGAAAGAGGTCTAGTTATAAATAAAGGATATAGCAAATGTTAAATTTATTACCCAGAACTCAATATAAGGAAGAAGTTGTTTCCAATGGCAGAATTACTGTTGAATGTGTTCAGTTAGATTCCATCTGAACATGAGGAAGAACTTCCTGACTGTGAGAGCCGTTCAGCAGTGGAACTCTCTGCCCCGGAGTGTGGTGGAGGCTCCTTCTTTGGAAGCTTTTAAACAGAGGCTGGATGGCCATCTGTCAGGGGTGATCTGAATGCAATATTCCTGCTTCTTGGCAGGGGGTTGGACTGGATGGCCCATGAGGTCTCTTCCAACTCTTTGATTCTATGATTCTATAATTCTATGATTCCTTCCAGCCTCCAAAATATTTGCTGAGAGGAAGAGGTCTTTTGGAGCTAATGGGGTAATGTTCCATATTCCTCAGAATGTGGAAACCTGACTTTTGCTGTAAAACAATGTGTGAAAATTAATGTTTTGATGTGAAAATTGAAATTGCTGTGGTAGATTAACAAGTCCTATGGACCAAAAGATTGTAAAATCTTGTTCCCTGGCTCCTATGAAGTGATTAAAACATCCAAGACTACGTATATGCTGCCATCTCAGTAACACACTGGAAGCCTGTCTTCCTCTGCCGATGTATTAAATGCTGAAGTATCTCTGCTTTACAAGTACAGATAAGTTGACCATAGAATTATACTGGAGGAGCTAGATATTATCTTAGGTAAAAAATTAATAATAACTGCGCACCTAAACCCAGCAAGCATGGAGTGCCAATTCAATTCATTTACAATTTTCCCATGTTAATTTATTTATTTATTATTTATTTATTTACAGTATTTATATATCGCTTTGCTTTTCTCACCCCTAGGGGGACTCAAAGCGGTTTACACATAGATAATGGCAAAAATTCAATGCCTTACAACTACAATATCAAAACCACACTTTAAACATAAATCATATTAAAACAGTACATCACCAAATATCAAAAGTTATTAAAACCATAAAACAATCTCATCAGTCGAGTCGCCATTCCAGTCCTTGTCCCACTAAAAGCTGCATACATCTATTGTCCAAAGGCCTGGTCCCAGAATCATGATTTTAATTTTTTTTATAAAGGGAGCAAATTTTACCTCCTTTGGGAGTGCGTTCCATAGGCGGGGGGCCACAGCCAAGAAAGCCCTGCTCCTCATCCCCGCCAGCCACATTTACGCTGTTGACAGGAGCAAGAGCAGGGCCTTCCCGGATCATCTCAAATTGCGAGGTGGGACGTAGGGGCAGATGCATTCGGAAAAGTAAGCTGGGCCCGTATTCCTTTCATTCTGTATATGTAGAGATGTTTTTGTAAATCCTTGTTGGAAAAACTGAGATAAATTCTCACCCATCCCTAAACTGCACACATTTTGAAAGGATGTTTTTCTACAAGTCTCTGGCTCTTGAACCAGGGAGAGTTGCCTATTTACCTCTTCACTTTGGCCTATTTTTCTCTCTCCATGCAGTATGACAGAAAAAGAGGTCCTTGAGCCACCTGCATCACCCACATCTGAAGGAGGGAAATCCACAGAAGGGGTAAGTGCAGTTGTGGGTTATTCCAGAAAGTCACGGGAGTATCTCCCAGCTTTGCGTCCCAATTCCTGCACAATCAGCCATGAGGTTTGTCTGGAGAGATGCTGTCCTCCTTCAGCATGTCCTTTGATGCCGGAACCTTCTGAAAGTGGCCTGTTTGATCATGAAGGCTGCAACCAATCTAAGAAGGGCATATGCCTTCCTTTCTAGTAAGGCCAAACCCAACTTGTGATGTTAACAATCATTTATCTGCCTGCTAACACCTCTCTTATTAGATTATGCATTTGGTGACATCAATATTATAATTGCTGCTTCATTGTCTTGTGGTTTGCCCTAACATCAGACCTTCTATTGGACTAGTCTGTCCAGCCTTTACATTTTTAAGCAAAGTTCTCATTCATGGCCATGATCCAAAGTAACCTTTTTGAGGGATTTTTCCAAACATGTTTTCTTGAACAGAAGGTCACCATAAGATAGGGGTAGGTTAACTGATTTCCCTCCAGAGGTTTGGAAATGCAGCTCCCATAAATCATTCTCATTGTGGCCAATGAGCAAGGATTGTGAGATGATCAAAACCTCTGGATGTTACTAATCGGGCTACTCTTTTTTGTTTGCCAAACAGCCTGAATTATTTTGCAATTTTGTAAAAATTAAAATGCTCTGCTCCAGTTGATTGTATTCTATTTCTCCCATCTTCACAAAAGAAGGCGTTTTCATGATCTTTTCTATGAAAAGGTAGAAAGCTAGGCTGGTTTCAGTATAGAGCAGTGTTTTGCAAACTCTGGTCCTCCAGGAGCTCTGACCTTTGACTCCCCAATCATTGGCCAAGGTAGCTAAGGCTTCTAGAAGCTGGCGTCCAAAACACCTGGAGGATTGGAGTATCTGTATCACTAATACAGAGGAACATAGGGCTCTTCCACATAGCCATATAACCCAGAATAAATATCAAAGTAGAATACCCACAATATCTGCTTCGAACTGGGTTATCTGAGTCCACACTGCCATATATCCCAGTTCAAAGCAGATAATGTGGGATTTTATTCAGCTGAGTGGAAGGGGCCTCAGTCAGCAGTGGTGTGGATTTTGCTTGCCTTCTTTTTCGGTGCACAATCCTTACATCCCTAGATTCAGCCTTGCCATACCCAAAAAACATTACCATGGTGGTAAAGTAATAGTAGTAAAGAGGTAGAAGGAGTCATTGGGTTGATGAGTGGTCCAATTCGCCAGCCTCTGTGGCGTATTGGCCTGACAGCAGGGCAATCCCAGTGCCCTGCATCCAGCTCCGGTAGCGACGCTTCCCCATTACTTGTAGGGAAGAGTAGCCATGTGGCTTCCCCCACGCTAGCCCTGTTGTTCTAAATAGAACATGGAGAGACTCCTGTGTTGCCGGCATAGTGTCATAGGATGCTTTCGCACCAGGTAAGCCATTGAGCTCTAATGGAAGTGAGCCTGCATTGTTGATAGGTGGTATGGGATTCTCTGGCTCAACTGGGGCGAAAGCATCCTGGGACAGTGAAATTTCCTCATAAGATGGGGTCTGTTATCAGCCAGTGATTCTTCACTTTGGTGCATATCCTTCCCCATTATATTTTGTACTTCAACTCCCGGAAGATCCAAACATAATAAAGGAACTGGAGGAATTTGATTCCAAAAAGACTGGCAGGCAAAAAGTTGAAAACTACAGTTGAAGACCATCAACTCCAACTCTCTTCTTGATGCAGAAGATCAAGAGATACATGTAGATAACCCCCAACAAATAGCTGTTTCAGCTTCTGCTGCTTTAGTGCCTCCAGTGAAGAAGATTCCCTGCCCCCCCCCCCGTTATCGGGATCTATTGTCACACTTTTAACCTCAAGTCACTTCTGTTTGTGCCCAAACAAAATCGACCTTAACCCTCTTAGATTCAGTCCTGCTCACCTCACCCATAGTCAGGAAGCCTTTCACCAACTCCCTTATGGTATAATAATAATAATAATAATAATAATAATAATAGTAATAATAATAATAATAATAATAATAATAATAATAATAATTTATTTGTACCCCGCTACCATCTCCCGAAGGACTCGGTGCAGCTTACACAAGCCCGAGCCCAAAATACAACAATAAAACAACAACAATAATACAGCAAAATAAAACAAAAAACAAGCAATAACATTAACAACACGCAATGACGCAGTTAAAAACAATGGCCGGGCCAAATGTAATAATTAAAATTAAAATTAAAAAGTGCTGAGCATGACAGGTGGGGTGTTTGGAGGGGGGTGGGCATGCAGATATCCTAGATCTCTAAATAAAGTGCGTTGGGACATAATGCTAGGATTTTCCTTATTCTGGAAGGGCACACTGGAACATCCATGTTTTCAAGCTCCTCCTAAAACTGAGTTTGCTCCTTGAGCCACTAAAGTTGGTTAGTCTCCTCCAGCTACCTTAGTTCTAACTCCAATGAGATACCAGATTTAAGAAAGGAAAAAGAAAGAAAATGTTTGTAAGTCCAAATGCTTCTAAAAACCATGTCTGCGACACTTGTGGGTTGCTGTGGCTCAAGGAAATTCACTTTCCAAGAAACACAAGTCCAAACCCCTTTGAAGTACTCAAAACTAAAGCTCTTTGGGGTTTGAAGTATTATGGATCCTGGTCTAAATGCCAAGCATGCTGGGAATTTTGCAACAAGGAGATTAAAGTTCTGCATGGGAAGCATGGGAAGACTATATTGTTTCTTACTCATGTTTCAAACTGCATAGATCTGTACAAGTTGCTCTGAATTTGGAAGAACTGGCAGAACCTAGGTAGGTTTGGACATTAGAGGAAGAATCACTGGGCATATTTGGAAGGATTTTCATACAGAGAGGTTTTTATAACAATACAGTTTGTGTAGCTTCCTTGTTTGAGTTTCCTTTCAGAAAAGAGCATGGAAGTGCAAATAGTGCATGATCCATTTTCACACACCACACACACTTGATGCTTATAGCATTTAAAGACATTTTTAGGTGTATTAGATTCAACTTCCTGGACAAATTCTCTCAATCAAAATCATAGTTTGACAAAGCTGCCCTCCTCTGCACAAATAATAATAATAATAATAATAATAATAATAATAATAATAATAATAATAATAATAATACCTGTCAGCTGCAAAAGGCCACCCAACTGGGATTTGCCGATACATCATACAGTCCTTGGGAAGTGTCTTATGTGTGATCCAATACAACAGCTAGCAGAGTGACCTTGTTTGCTGTGTACTAATCTTGTTGTGTTTCAAATAATAATAATAATAATAATAATAATAATAATAATAATAGCACTTTATTTGTATTCCGCCCTATCTCCCCAAGAGCACTCAGAGACAATTCCAGCATATATACAGACACAGGCAAACATTCAATTCCTTTGAAACGCACAGTGAAACACAAATACACAAAGACAAAGGCTTCTTGCTTCATCTCCGGCTCTGGAAGCGGTGCTTGTCTCCATTTCCAAGCTGAGGAGCCTGTGTTGTCTATAGACACCTCCTGGTCATGTATCCAGCATGACTTTGTGGAGTGCCCTTTTACCTTCCCGTCGAGGTGTTACCTATTGATCAACTCACATTTATATGTTTGCAAACTGCTAGGTTGGCTAGAGCTGGGGCTGACAGCGGGAGCTCACCCCATCTCACGGATTCGAACTGCCAGCCTTCAGGTTAGCAAGCTCAGCAGCTCAACGGTTTAACCTGTTGCACCAACATTGCCCCTACAATAAATAAAAATTAAAAGGAGAGATAATCTACAAATGAATATCTATGAAAATAACACCTATTACTCCATTCTCAGAATTTTCCTCTCAAAAGTAAAATACGTCATACTTTCATGGAGATCTTTACATATGTGTAAATTATGGACCTTAGGAGAACAAGGAAAGCTTGGAAATGAGAAGTATTTCCTCCCTGTAAGTCTCCCAAGAATTACCGATGTTTTTCTTTAAAATATATAATTGCTATTGAACAAACAGTCACGTGCACATGAAAAACAAGTGTGAAGCTTTCTCCTTCAACTTCCCTCAGTGAAACTGGATCTGTAGGTAGCACTTCAAGGGATTATTTCCTTTGAATGGAAGAGTACTGGAGTCTCCTCCAGTCTTTGTAGTATATCCATCCAAGTGTATTTACAAATACAAAAGCAGAGCATAGGTGAAGCTAGGGAAAACCAAGTGGGAAAACCAGCAGCAAAAGCACTGTTCCTACAGTAGATGCACAAAACACCAAGGTGCCCATACATCTACTTCCAATCCAGCTAAACCTATAGCAATACATTTTCACCTCTCTGCCAGTCTCTAAATTCAAAAGTATCTATGCTTCTTACTGTTGTTGCATTGTGCTCACTCTTTCCTGTTCTGATGGGTGTTGTGTTCCACTGCTGTCAGGCTCATTTACTCAAACCAAGGCAGATACCTCCATGATACTTAAATAACTCAATGCATCCACATTGGTCTTTATCAGACTTTAGACATGTGTGCAAACCAACTGATGGAAAGGGACGGGTATGCAAAGTGTGGCCTTGAGTTTATATGCCACTCTGTCTCCTAGGATGTTTTTGTAGGGCTCACTCCCTGATCCCCTGCATCTCCTATTTTTCTGCCAAACGGGGAGCAAAACCTTCAGTCGCAATGTTTCACCTTTAAATCGGATGCCCTCCCCATTTATCATTTTAATATATCAGAAGCCCCTGGTGGTGCAGTGGGTTAAACCCTTGTGCCAGAAGGACTGAAAACTGACAGGTTAGAGGTTCAAATCCGGGGAGAGCGTGGATGAGCTACCTATGTCAGCTCCAACTTCCCGTGCGGGGACATGAGAGAAGCTCCCACAAGGATGGTCAAACATCAAACATCTGGGCAATGTCCTTGCAGATGGCCAATTCTCTCACACCAGAAGCGACTTGCAGTTTCTCAAGTCGCTCCTGACACAAAAAAAAGTTTAATGTATCTGCCTTTTATAACCATCTTTGTTTCTTTTTCTCTCTCTTACACACAGACACACATCTTGGGTTATCTGTCTGATATCCAGAGGCTGTCTAAGGCATCGAATTGATCCCGACCCCTGTTTAAACCCCCTTTCTCCCAGCAAAATACAGAGAATTACACAATTTGACTGATTTGATCCAGATTTGAGATTGCTACATCCTCAGGCCCTTGTTGAATCTTGCCGCAAAATTGTGTGTTGTTGTTACAACCTCTATTCCAACTTGTAAACTGGAACAGCAACCTCTTTTCTCCCTATTGCTCTGAAGATTATATAGCTTCTGTGAGCAATGCCTAGCTATTTCAATATGTTACTTAGAAATATATGGGACACACTCCAGGAATGCCTTTTGGTGACACACACAGCTGCTGCGACGGCAACCCAATGGCTGCAAGATTTTCCATATTTCATGAAACAGCCAGTTTTCAAGATCCCCAGAGTCTCCCAGAATGTGCACATACATATGGAAGGATGCATAAGTGAGGAGGGTTGGCTCGTTCTCTCTCCTGGGATAGGGATATATTAACAATCATAGCCTTAGGAAAGGGAATGTATGGCTGTCTCCCCGCTGCTGACGCCACACTTTCCAGCATATTGCTGTCCTAAGATTTCTTTGCATTATCCTGGGCAGCAGAAGCAAATTCTGGATCAGAGACACATTCCTCCACCTTGCCCAACTCCATCCTGGTGTATTGCACAGGCTGTACTATTTCAGATTAAGATTAAGATGTTTAAAAGTAGTCTTAGGTAGTCTGAGGCCCCATCCACACAGTTCCTTAATCACAAGAGTTTCCATTTCAAAATGGGGGTGGCTAGAGGATGTCACTGGAAAACTCACAGTGATTTGCTACAGCCGATGTCCATCCCATTTAAAAAGCCCAAAACAGCTGATCAGCTGTCAAACGGACACACAGCTGATTGAAAGGAAGCACAAATAGAGAGCTATTAGAACTCTCTGAAACTCTTTAATTAACACTGCAAACACTGTAACACTGTAAACAGACCTTTAATAAATAATTAGGGGAAGGGAGAAATCCGGCAGAAAGTTTTTTTAATTCCCCCTTGTTATGCGCTGATCTGTATATGCGCACATGCTTGTATTCATTCTATTAGAATATGCGCATATGTGCATATGGATCAGCGCATAATCATATACTTAAAAAAAACTTCCAGCAGATGTCCCCCATCTACCCTTCATTGTATCCTGTGAAAGAGAAGGGAGGCCAGTGTTGCACTCCAGGTCCAGAAGAAGCCCTCTGTCTTAAAACACACCACAGGAAGAGTGAAGAATCAAATCTTCTTTTATTAAAACTTAGTAAATAGCCAGAAGAAATAAATGTTTGTAAGAAAATCAGAAGGTTCTAAAAAGTATTAGTCCATAAACAGTAGTAACTCAAAGCGATGTCCACACAAGAAATACAGGCAATCCAAGAGAAGCATTAATCCAGACAGGAATCAAGCAGGATGTAAAGACAATTCAAAAGGCTAAAAAACTCCACAGGAACAAGATCCCTTGAACAAGTCTTCCATGGCACAAGAACTTGGTTTCCAAACGATGCATGATCTGACAAGATTTTCTACAGGCAAACCTTAAATCCCAAAAACTGGTTTCGTTTTCCCCCATTCTTTGACTTTAATTGACAAATTATTTCGGATCTACTTTAACATTGGGCTTCTTGTTGATTCTGGCTAATCTCCTGCTGCCGATTCTGCATATCTGACTCCTCATTAACTTAGCAGGTTTCAGACTGTTTACCAAACTAGAATCTGGAGAGCTCACAGATGGAGGGAGTAAACCTTTCTCCCAAGGCCTGACAGAAACATTCTCATGAGAATCTGCCCTTTGCACCGAAACCTCTCTGTCAGTGTCTGCATGAAACTCATTGACCAAAGTGTCTCCATCTTGTACCTCAGAGTCAGTCCAAGCATCCCCCACATCAGAAGCAACAGGGGACTGATTTCCCTCCTCATTACCCACACCAGACACAAAAACATCAGGAGACTGAAACACATTCACAGGTTCAATCACAGGCTGAGTCCCAACAGCCAGTGAGGTTGGTGGGGGAAGAATTCCTCGGACTAGCAGGTCAATGTGGGGACCTGCTTGGAGGCCCCAGGTCTTTTGCCCCTCTTAGAAATCCCACGATTTGGTGCTGTCTGGAAGCGCCATGAGAGCAATTCCAAATGGATTGATAAAATATTTTAACAAAATTGCCATTAATATAATCAACAGCATAATGACAAAAAAGTGGAATATAACACTTTATTGGGCAATAGCTTCCTGATAGAAACCAAATTATTGATGTTCCTAAACTCCAGATATTAGCACCTACTGGCCTTTGAAATCAATATATACAAAGTTGGTTTACAAGCATGTGGTGAAGCAAAACAATACCTTCCCAATAGAAACCAAATCATTGATGTTACTAAACTCCACTTATTAGCACCTATTAACTTTTGTAACCAACATATAAAAACAGCTGGTTTACAAGCATGTGGTTAAGTAAAATAAATGCACGCACAGAATCTCTCTCTCTCTCTCTCTCTCTCTGAATCTCTCTTCCTTTCTTGACTTGTTTAAAATTCTGCGGCATGATGGTGGGAAGACTGTACAATGCAACTCTTGCTCTGTGCTTCTCCATTTGCATCTAGCTGGCTTCATTGCTGCAGACTTCCTTCTGGGTAGTGTTGCAGGCAAAAAGTGCTGCATGCAAATGGCATCTCTGCTTTTATTATGTAGTTTTTGGGCTTCTATTTGCCGGGTCCTCTTCCTACTCATTTTGCCACAGGGCCCTGCGGGGATGTCCTGGAGATGGCTTTTCCTTCTGTATTACTTTGCCTCCTTTTTTTGAGCTAGTTGTGAACAAGTTGGGAGTGTGCATGCCAGCAGCTGTGGTTGCCTTGCCACGGTTCCTTGTTGGCATCTATCAAGTGCTGATTGTCCACCTGCCCCTACCCCATCCCGCCCCGCCTTCCCCCACCCCACCTGCTCCGGATCCTCAGCTGCAGCGGCTAAAGCAGATTTTCCAACGCAAGCCCAATGAAGAGGAGGAAGATGCTGCCCCAGAGGAGCCACAGGCCAATGGAGAGCTGGTCAGCCCTTCAGGGGGACCGATTTACTACATCTATGAGGAAGAGGAGGAGGAGGAGGAAGAAGAGCCTGAACCACCGCCTGAGCCGGAAAAACCCGTGAATGACAAACCTCACAAGTTCAAGGATCATTACTTCAAGAAGCCCAAGTTCTGTGACGTCTGTGCCCGCATGATTGTCCGTAAGTCTTCTTGCTTGAGAAAACCAAGCTACGAGGGAATGGCGGTGGTTGGAGGATCCTACTTTCTTTCCCTTGTTTTCCCCCTTATAATGGGATTTTGGGGTCTTTTTCAAGGACATAGTGGGCAGAGCATAATCTCTYTTTTCACTGCAGAGAGTTTATATGCCCTTCTGTATTCCATCTTGCTTTTCAAGATACARTATGAAGGTAGTAAATTGGGTAGGAGTTAGGGAAAGGTTATTGGAGAGTTAGCAAGCCGGGGGGGGGGGGGGGGGCAGTTCTTGGGAGATGATAAAACAGGGAAAGTATGGTTTTGCTGTAAAGTGAAGCATTAACACCTAAATCCAATCGCTGATCCAAAACTCAAGTGTATTGAATCAGTGGAATTACATATGTATTGACTTACCATTCAGCAAAAAGTGGCTTTGATTCTAGTAACAGCAATTTGCCATCTCCCTTGGGGTAAAGCTACAGTAAACAAGCAAACAAACAAACAAACAAAACAACCCAACTTGCTGCAGATTCATAACAAGCAAAATCTCGTACATCAGTCAGTTGCTTTACTCTACCAAACATTAGGTCTGGCTGGAAAGACACCCCTTGGTGCCTAGGTCAAGCAGCCCCAGAATAAAAGGACATCTTTTCTAGGAAGGACCAGTATGCAAACTGGGTGGATGGACCAAGTCCAAAGTGTAAATATATACTTCATAGTTCCAAGTTGCCATACTAACAGCTCATTGAACAGGGCATCTACATGTAGAAATGGAGTTCATGGGGTTCTAGCTCTAGTGATCATGGGGCTCAGGCATGTAGCCAGGGGAGGGAGGGGGGGGGGCTTGACGGGCTTCATTCTCAGGGTGGTCTACGAGAAGGCCTTACGGGTACATTATTTAAACTATTATGTTTATTCATATCATGATCTGATTACTATGCTCAATATATCCCATATGCATGGGGCTATTGGGGTAACGATACAAAAGGTTTGCTAGGGTAGATCCTCAGCTCCCCCCCCAATCAAACTCAGCCCCCCCCCAAAAAAAAATCAAACTCAGTATCCCCCAAATCAAAATCCTGGCTATGGGCCTGACGGGGCCCATTCATACTATTTAATTATAAGGCTATATTTCTATTTTGACTTCTGTGGCAACATCCCATGGAAAGCTGAGGTTAAGGAAGGGGCATGATTTTCGGCTAAATAACTCCCCTGGTGCCTCCCCTGATTCTAGAAGATCTGACCATGGCAGTTTAAGTAAAATCAAGGTTATAACTGCAGTGTAAATGGGACCCTTGGGGAGGGGGGGGGGGGAATGCAAGTTATATACTGAATTTCATTGCACAATAGTAGCTATCACATAATAGTTGCATCACCACCACTCCTTTTGGGGAAGACAAAATTAGTGTTTTGCTCTTCCCCGCATAAAAGTCGCACCCTTTGTTCACTCATCTGGCTGAATAAAAGAAGGGTGCAACTATCCTTTTGCCTAACAGCTTGACTCGGCACACAGCCATACTGTGCCAAAAGGCACTGCCACACGGGCAGATAATGCTTCACCTGCCCACAGGCTGTCCCCTCTTTAACTTGGAGAGGGTAAAAGGGTGGGCAAGTTCACCAGCCTGCTAGCCTCTCCCCTCCTAACTACAGAGCACTGTAACTTGGAGGGGAGAGGTGGGTGGGAAAGCATGTGAACTCTCCTTTCCCTCCACAGCTACACTTCAAGAGTACAGACATGTGAGTGGGTGAAACTTCACCCACCTGTATAGCTGTGCCCTCAAAGGACTATTATGTGATGAAAGGGGGCCTTTTCACTATGGAAATCACAATTGCAAAATAGTTATATCTCTCTCCCCTGGGGGGGGGATGCGACTATTATGTGGTGAAATACTAGGGTTCCTTCTGATATTCGTTCTGATGCTAATCACCACCTGTCTTGCTTAGTTAGTCTGAGATACTGAAAAGGCCCAGCCAGGAGGTAAGTGGTTAAGTGGTTTTAATGGAAGGGGAAGACATTGTCACTTTTATATAGAGTAGCTAGAGTAAAAACAGAAAAAGTTTCCTGCACCATTAATGGTTGTGAAAAAAGAGAAAATTTCTGTAAGTTGCTTATTACTTGAGTATTTAACAAACAAAATCTGCTTTATTTTCTGCTTCTGTACAAGTTATAGAAGCCATCTCTAATTTCCCCACTGGCAATGCTAGTTTAGTATTTTAAAGTGGCTTTTCACACCCCTTACTTTCTATGTGATTGAAAGACAAACTTTCCTTTAAAAGTTGATGTTTAATGCTGGTGTCACCTATAGTTTGGTCCTGAAGAGTAGAGAGAATTGTTCAAACCTCATGATTCCTTGACCTCTATTGACCCCAACTAATTTCCCATCTCTTTTTCTGCATAGTCAACAACAAATACGGCCTGAGATGCAAGAACTGCAAAACCCACATCCATCATCAGTGTCAAGGTTATGTAGAATTTCAGCGCTGCTTTGGCAAAATTGTAAGTGTCCCCACTCGGTTCTGTATGCGAGGTTTCTTGCCCTGGCTGCTTGCTGTCCCTAACATAATGTTTTTCAGCACAGGCTTGGAGGTTTGCATGTTGCAACTGCATTAGCCCCACAGTATGAAGATGGAAAATGTTTAGGCTTAACAACAAAGGATAATAATAATAATAATAATAATAATAATAATAATAATAATAATAAAAACAATGGAACACAACACGCCAGACATCATGATTGTGGAAAAGAAAAAAGTTTGGATTATTGATGTTGCCATACCAGGTGACAGTCACATTGAGGAAAAACAACAGGAAAAACTCAGCCACTATCAAGACCTCAAAATCGAACTGCAAAGGCTCTGGCATAAACCAGTACAGGTGGTCCCAGTGGTCATCGGCACACTGGGTGCTATTCCAAAAGATCTCAGCCGGCATTTGGAAACAATAAACATCGACAAAATCATGATCTGTCAACTGCAAAAGGCCACCTGACTTGGATCTGCGCGTATCATTCGAAAATACATCACACAGTCCTAGACGCTTGGAAAGTGTTCGACTTGTGATTTTGTGATACGAAATCTGTCATATAGATCTCGTTTGCTGTGACGTACTGTGTTTTTGTGCCAATAATAATAAACAATAATACAAATTTCTTTATACCTTGTTTTATCTCTCAATGAAGGGGACACAAAGGCATGCTAATCTGAGAAAATTTTCATGCAGTCCTCAAACGTCTAGCGTTGCAGTAATTTGAAAGTTCAATCGGACATTTAGAAATACAATGTAGGCATCCATAGGAAAGAGGAGGCTGGGCTAGGTTACCATGGGAATGTGAGTACAGCAAATGTACAAACTGTAGGTGCAAAACATTTTCAGTGCCCTCCTCTCTACAATGTTAGAAGGGAAAAATCATTTGGGGAAAAGTATTCTTATTTAGAGGAACAGTGTTCTCATTTCCCTACTATTCTCATAGCTATACTTTTTGTCCAGTCCAAAGCTAGATGAGAACAAGATGTAGCTTTGTTAGCCACTGCCTGCATCACTGCTATAGTTATAAAGAAGGGTAGGGATTTGCTGCTGCCTAACCCACATCTTTGCTCTGCAGCCCCCAGGTTTCCGTCGTGCTTACAGCTCCCCATTGTACAGTGCACAACAAGTTGGTAAGTCATCAATCACGGACTTCTGGTGGCCCTCCCATGATGGACTTCCATCACCGCAAGAAGCGGTCCTCATTATTTTCCTTGCTGTTTCAATCCACAGCTAACCGAGGTGACCCTGTGTTTGAGACGCTGCGGACGGGTGTTGTCATGGCAAATAAAGAGCGCAAGAAAGGACAGGATGACAAAAAGAATGTAAGCATTACATGTGGAGAAGCGTTAGGACACAAGTGGTGTGCCTGCTTTTAGCATTTCAAACTGTAGTAACCTGAAGGTTGGGACTGAAGTTAGGCCTAGAACAGAGGTAGGAATCAGGCAGCATCCACAGGTTTGTCACTTACTTACTTACTTACTTACTTACTTAGGTGATCCCTCGTAGTCCGAGGATGATGGTGTAGTATCCTGGCGATGGGTCTGTAGGTGACTGGGGAGCCCTATTCTTGATCTGCATCTTCTCCCATAGTGAGGGCATCGGTGGAAGGTGGAAGGCAGTCCCAGTCAGGGTTGACTTGATGCGCCTTCCACTTGGGACGTTTCTCTCTTTCACCCTCCGTTTGTGCCTCTTCAAATTCTGCAGCACTGCTGGTCACAGCTGACCTCCAACTGGAGTGCTCAAGAGACAGGGCTTCCCAGTTCTCAGTATCTATGTCAGAGTTTTTAAGGTTCGCTTTGAGCCCATCTTTGCATCTCTTTTCCTGTCCTAAAACATTCTGTTTTCCGTTCTTGAGTTCAGAGTAGAGCAACTGCTTTGGGAGGCAGTGGTTGGGAATCAGGACAACATGGTGTGCCTGTTTTTAGCATTTCAAATTGTAGTAAGGTGAAGGTGGGGACTGAAGTTAGGCCTAGAACAGAGGTAGGAATCAGGTGAAATATAGAACAAGGTTCTTTCCCCTTCAATGGTTGCACAGAAAAGGGAATTTTTGCAGTGGGGTTAGTGTAAGAAGCAACCTGCTGAAATCCTCCATCTAACTATCTGCAGTGGTATCAAATGTTGGTGGAGATGGAGGCTCCAAGAATGGGCATGCTAGACATATATTGCCTAATGATGTGACAAAGGATATACCATATCTTTTGATTAATTTCCTTACTTGCTTTTTAGCCATTGGCTGCTATGATGGAAGAGGAAACAGAGGGCCCTAAGGAAGAAGGTAACAAGCCAGAGGAAGGTAAGTGCCAGTCCTTAGGGAAACCACTCTTACTTACTTCATCACACTAGAGAGAAAAAATCCACTTAAAATCCAGTTTCTGCCTCCTGCAGAATTCTGGGGTTTGTCGTTTAGTGAGGCTGTTAAAGGCTCTTCCCTAAAGTTCAAACCCCAGGCTGTTTCGAAGTAGATAATGTGATCTGAAAAAACAAACAAATCCCTTTTTACTCTGCATTCTAGGAAAATAACTTTTTTTTTGGTAACATGTCATGCGCCCAAATCAAGATGGGGTAGTTGGGGGGACAGGATAGATTGGTGGGTGATTATTACCTTGGCATCCTCATCCAGCAAGCATGATGTCACCATTTTTTAAAGCCATTCGGAATATGTCTGAAAGTTTGAGATTCTCTGCTTTCTGGGGCATGTGGCTATCTTGGAATTTGTTGCATCCTCTAAAGCAGTGGTTCTCAACCTGTGGGTCCCCAGTTGTTTTAGCCTACAACTCCCAGAAATTGCAGCCAGCTTACCAGCTGCTAGGATTTCTGGGATTGGAGGCCAAAACATCTGGGGACCCACAGATTGAGAACCACTGCTCTAAAGCGATTCTATGGTAACATCTGACAGACCTGGAGAATAGAATCACCTGGAAAACCCAGAACTTTCATAGAAAGGAAATCTTTCTTATCAGATCCAGGTAGATAAAATTGTAGATATGGTATAGAGTGTATGGCAGTCATACTGTACAATAACAATTAAGCTCAGAACAGCTGAGGGCACCATCATAGGAACAGCCTCCCAGCCCCGTCCCACTGCCCTTCTTCTCCTAATACTGCCATGCTGTCCTGGCTCTCTTTCCCCTGTCCTGCACCCAACATTCATTTCCTTTCATCTATTCTAGAGTCCCATGTGCACCCTTCCTCCTTCCGCTCCTCCTCTCCCATCCCCTTACTTTTTTGTCACCAAAATTGAATGAAGAAGCTTTTACTTCTCTCAACGGACATGCACATATGGTCTGGAAAGGTCTACAAGGGATTATAGAGTCAAGAGGGCAGAGGAGCCATGTCCATGCCATCCAGTGGGTACACAAGTGGGTGGGAAGATTGACAGGAAAACAAGATTGATATGTATATATGGATATAAACATTGGTATATTCTCTTGTGAGTCGGGAAGGCAAATATCCCTCAGCTGGTGCAGTTGTGTGACCTAAAACACTCTGATACAGTCAACATGAACATGGTTGAAATGCTGTGATTTCAGAGAGCGGGAGCTGTATAGCTTGTAAAACTACTTTGATTTTGGAGTAAAACAGATGATGTTAACAAAGGGCCCTTCTACACTGCCGAAAAATACAGATTATCTTCTTCTGACTGGATTATATGGCAGTGTAGACTCATAATCCAGTTCAAAGCCGATAATGTGGATTATAGGGCAGTATAGGTGGGGCCAAAGTCAAACTGAAGGAGGATACTGTATGCTGCAACTGAGATATACCCCTCGTGTGATTTTAACCCTAAAAGGCTCTGCAATCCAAACATTTGCTCAAGAGAGGTTGATTTCAATCAAGAAAAGGCAGGTCTGCATTCATAAGAAAAGGAGAAAAGGTTTGCCGTCTGGGCCGATCTTCCTATTAAGGTCAGATAGCTGAGTCTGGAATGGAGGTAACCCCAATTGGAAGACCTTCTCTCACTTGGAAGGTTTGAATTTTCCCTGTAGCCTGGCTTGCACCATCAAAACTGTATGCCATCTTGAGATAATGTGCATGGAGTATTCCTGCTTCAAAGTAGATTTCATCCACAAGTTTGACCAGCTTTTGATGTTGGAATTGTTTTTTTTTTAAAGTAGATTCTTTCAACTGCACTGTATGGAAGGAATTATGATTCTAAACGATGGCAATGGAAATTATGAACAATTCCCTCAAAGGGTTGTTGTGAGTTTTCCGGGCTGTATGGCCATGTTCCAGAAACATTCCCTCCTGATATTTTGCCCACATCTATGGCTGGCATCCTCAGAGGTTGTGGGGTCTGTTGGAAACTAGGCAAGTGAGGTTTAGTTTTCAAAGGACCTCACAACATCTGAGGATGCCTGCCATAGATATGGGTGAAACGTCAGGAGATAACTCTTCTGGAACATGGCCATACAGCCTGGAAAACTCATAGCAATCCAGGGATTTTGACCATGAAAGCCTTTGACAACACAGTTATCTCAAAATTCAGAGCTAGTTCCCAAATGGCCTCAATCAGTGCAATAAGGAAAATGGCCTTTTAACAGTAGTTAGCCTTATTTTACAGTAGTTAGCCTTATTTATTTATTTACCATATTTATACCCAGTGCAATAAGGAAATCAATCAGTGCAATAAGGAAATATGGAATAGTGCAACAAGAACTTGGAGTGGTCACAGACTACAATATTGGATTGCGTGATTTTAATTAAGTGATTTCAAGGTTTTATGTTTTTAACTATTCTTTTAATATATATGCTTTTATTATGTATGTTTTTATGGCATCGAATTGCTGTTTATATATGTAAGCCACCTTGAGTCCCCTATGGGGTCGGGAAGGGCAGGGTATAAATATGGTAAATAAATAAATAAGGCTAACTACTGTAAAATAAGGCTAACTACTGTTAAAAGCACTGCATATGTATGTCCAGACATTACTTGTACAGGTGTGGGATCTGTCATTCAGTGCAAACACATTTATTATTATTATTTATTATTATTTCGAAGATTTTTACCCCGCTCTTCTCCACCCCTGGGGGGACTCAGGACAGCTTACAATTGGCAACAATTCAATGCCGCTTCATAAAATACAAATATCAAATATAACAATTAAAATCATGAACATTAAAATAAAATTTAAACAGTATACTTATGATCCATTTAGCTATTGCCAGTCTGGTGGCTATTTATCTAGCCATATACTAATGATTACTCTGCTTCACTTATCCAATTCCACTGCCAAGCCATAGTCAAATATTATCCATTGTCCTTTACCCTGATTGCCCAAAGGCCTGGTTCCACAACCACGATTTTACCTTCTTTCTGAAGGTGTGGAGGGATGACAATGATCTAATTTCCCCGGGAAGCGAATTCCACAGGCGGAGGGCTACCACCGGGAAGGCCCTGTCCCTCGTCCCCGCCAAACATGTCTGAGACAAAGGCGGGGCTGAGAGCAGGGCCTCCCCAGAGGATCTTAAGCTCCAAGGTGGGATGTAGAAGGAGATACGTTCGGACAGGTATGCTGGACCGGAGCCGTATAGGGTTTTATAGGTCAAAACCAGCACTTTGAATTGTGCTCGGAATTGGATCGGCAGCCAATGGAGCTGACACAACAGGGTATATACAGAGAACAGTCAACAGAACCGCTTAGCATCCTGTGATTCCCAGCTTTGATTGAAAAAATACAAATGCACACAAGTTGATGTCTAATGCTAGCTCAAGGAAAAGTGGGCCTTAAAATGTCTGTGCAACATCGGATGAATATCACTTCAAGGCAATGACTCATAAAGAACTTGCTTCTGAAAAAACATACCACGAGAAGTAGCCCCAACATGACAATCCAATATTAGCAAAGATGGACGCTTATCTCCTCTGTTCTTAAATGTGCTTTTGGTAATGTTTTAACTTTCTGAATGGCTTTTAAGCTTGAAATTGCCGGTCACCTTGAGGACTCTTCTGGGCTGAAAAGGAACACAGGAATATTTTTATAAACATCAGAGGAATTAAAAGTCTTCATGACAACGGCAGATTGCCGGGGAATAGTTGAACACTCGGAAAGCACAAAAGCTCATAACACCGAACTCCTGGAAGATAAGGCTCTGGCAAATAGCCATGGCAGCGAGAGGAGCCCTCAAATTAAAATAGTCAAAGGGTAATCTAAAATATCTGATTTTCATGCAATATGTCAAGATTACATTACCTGTACAAACAGGGCTAAACACAGCTATACCTGTGGAAGCCGTGCCTCAGATTACAGATGGAACAGAGATCAAACAGAAATATTATTATAGAGAATTATGTAGAAAGATCTCCTAATTGCTAGTGGATTTCAGTTACATTGTCTGTCATGAAGAAACCATTTCAAAAAACACCGGCTTCTTCTGGTAATCATTATATGAATACATCCCTTGTTTGGTTTTTGGATTAGGTGTCCTTGAGTGGGGTTTTTTTGGCTTATTTTTTTTTTTTAAATCGTGAATAAACACATAGTGATTATGTTGCTGTGTGGGTCCCGTCCTGGGCCCAGTACTGTTCAACATCTTTATTAATGACTTAGATGAAGGATTCGAAGACATGATCATCAAGTTTGCCGATGACACCAAATTGGGAGGAATGGGTAATACTCCAGAAGACAGGAGGAGAATTCAAAATGATCTTAACAGAATTAGAAAGATTAATAGCCAAAACTAACAAAATGAAGTTCAACAGGGACAAATGTAAGATACTCCACTTAGGCAGAAAAAATGAAATGCAATGAAACAGAATGGAGGACGCCTGGCTCAACAGCAGTACATCTGAAAAAGATCTTGGAGTCCTCGTGGACAACAAGTTAAACATGAGCCAAAAATGTGTTGCGGCAGCTAAAAAGCCAATGGAATTTTGGCCTGCATCAATAGGAGCATAGTGTCTAGATCCAGGGAAGTCATGCTACCCCTCTATTCTGCCTTGGTCAAACCACACCTGGAATACTGGTTCTGGGCACCACAATTGAAGGGAGATGTTGACAAGCTAGAATGTGTCCAGAGGAGGGTGACTAAAATTATCAAGGGTCTGGAGAACAAGCCCTATGAGGAACAGCTTGAAGAGCTGAGCATGTTTAACCTTCAGAAGGGAAGGCTGAGAGGAAACACAATGGCCATGTATAAATATTAGGCCTGGGTAACAACGGAAAAATTTGTTTCTAAAATCGATTTGTATTTGGGGGTTTTTTTTGTTTCGATATTTAAAATAATTACAAAATTTTCCTTTTAAAAAGTTCGATATTTACGAAATTTCGTAAATGGTAAAAAATTAACGAATCGATTTCCGAAACAATAACGAATCGATTCGTTAATGGCGGACGCGACCGCGAAATATGCTAAAAAACCTCCAAAACCTTCTGAAGCTTCCCTCTCCCTCTGTTGTTGACTGTTGGTGTGATATTATAATTTTTTTTCACTAATTAAACCATAAAACTGGCCCAGACATGCGGAAATAATAACGAAACGACCTCAAAACAATAACGAAACGAATAAAATATCGAAATACGAAGCATTTACAAAACGTTTTTGAAAATTCGTTTTTTTAATAATTGCTCCAGAATGGTTCGTTATCATTTTGTAATTGAAAAAATTAACGAATTATTAACGAATTACGAATTAACGAAACGAAACCGCCCAGCCCTAATAAATATGTGAGAGGAAGTCATAGGGAAGAGGGAGCAAGTTTGTTTTCTGCTGCCCTGGAGACCAAGACACAGAAAAATGGCTTCAAACTACAGGAACGTAGATTCCACCTGAACATGAAGAAGAACTTCCTAATGGTGAGAGCTGTGGAACTCTCTGCCTTGGAGTGTGATGGAATCTCTTCCTTTGGAGGCTTTTAAACAGAGGCTGGATGGCCATCTGCCAGGGTTGCTTTGAATGCAATTTTCCTGCTTCTTGGCAAGGGTTGGACTAGGGACTCTTCCACACAGCCCTATAATCCCAGAATACCAAGGAAGAAAATCTCACAATATTTGCTTTGAACTGGGTTATTTGAGTCTACACTCAGATAATGTGGGATTTTCTGCCTTGATATTCTGGGATATAGGGCTCTGTGGAAGGGCCCTGGGTGGCTCATGGGTCTCTTCCAACTCAAGGATTCTATGATTCACAGTTTCCACATGGACATGTTTAATTTGGCATAAGATTTTATGGACATTTGATGGAACAAGATGTTGCCTCAAAAAGGAGGCCATAAAAGAGTTTAAGATCATCTGGGGAGGCCCTGCTCTTGGTCCTGCCTCCTTCGCAGGTGTGGTTGGCAGGGATGAGAGACAAGGTCTTCTTAGTGGTGGCCCCTTGGCTATGGAGTTCCCTCCCGAGCGAAATTAGATCAACCCCCTCCCTCCTGACCTTTAGGAAAAAGCTAAAGACATGGATGTGTGATCAAGCATTCAGTGAGTAATCAATCAGTGCAATAAGGAAATATGGAATAGTGCAACAACAAATTGGAATGGCCACAGACTATGATATTGGATTGTGTGATTTTAATTAATTGATTTCAAGGTTTTATGTTTTTAATTATTGTTTTAATGCATATGCTTTTATTATGTATGTTTTTATGGTATCGAATTGTTGTCTATATATGTAAGCCACCTTGAGTCCCCTACGGGGGTCAAGAAGGGCAGGGTATAAATATGGCAAATAAACAAATAAGGCTAACTGCTGTAATGTGAACTACAAGAACAATGAAGAAAAACAATCTGGAACAATAAACTTTGCTCTTCTGAACCAGTTGCCATCCAGAGCTACATTTATCAATATCCCCTTCATAGGTATGGTTATTGCCATGTTGTTTGGGACTGGTGAGAGCTGTGGCACAAAACTGGACTTTGTAAACAAAGAGAAAGTAAGAAAGAGACACATTGAGAGAAGTTTATTTTGGGGACTTTGTAGAGAGGAAAGATCCATCCAAACTGTTTCCATGTATCAATATACATGACTGCCTTTTCTTTTTGTCCCCCTCTAGGAAATCAAGAAGGCCAGAAGACTGAGAAGAATGCCCCTGATGACAAGGTGCCTGACATCAGCCACTTTTCTCCTTTTGGAGGGGGTGTGCATGGGAGAGTAGGAAGACATGGCATAATGTGCCATTCTGAGTGCCAGGAGCACTCAGGCCTGGGTGGAAGTCAAGCACACTGAGGCCCCTTTCACACAGCTGTATAAATCCACACTGAACTGGATTATATGGCAGTGTGGACTCAGATCATTCAGTTCAAAGCAGATATTGTGGATTATCTGCCTTGATATTCTGGATTATATGGCTGTGTGGAAGGGCCTTGACATGCCAGCCTCCATTCCTCAGTCCCTAATAACTAGAAGTGTGAGGAATTGCTCAAGTGTACCTTTCGCTGGGATAATTGAAACAGCAGCAGGCTGGGAACAGTGTAACGAAAGTATTACCACAAACGTAGCAATTCATTATTGTAGAAGAAACTATGCAAAAAGGACCCAAATGGCATGTGAGCACCAATAGGCAGTGGTACTGAACTATTCAGTTTTACTTTATTTTTTTCACTCCTCCCAAGACTTTTTTGTGTGTGTATCAGAAGCAACTTGGGAAACTACAAGTTGCTTCTGGCGTGAGAGAATTGGCCACCTGCAAGGATGTTGCCCAAGGGATGCCTGGATGTTTTACCATCCTGTGGGAGGCTTCTCTCATGTCCCTGCATGGGAAGCTGGAGCTAACAGACGGGAGCTCACCCCATCTCGCAGATTCAAACCGTTGACCTTCAGGTCAGCAGTTCAGCCAGCACAAGGGTTTAACCCACTGCGCCACCACAACTTCCTCTTGTAAGACTGAAACTGTATTAAAATACCATGGTTCCGTTAGGGTGAATTTTGGCATGGGCAAATCACAGGTGTCAACGATCTACCTATGTGTGTTTTTAAGTATATCCCAATGGTCTACTAACTGGAGCATGATCTTGACTTAGAGTAAAGCAAGTCTAGGACTTAGTTCTTTCCACATTGTTTTCATAGCATCATAACCCTTAGACATACCCATGGATTCTATATCCAATATTTCAACTATCAATGGCTTGAAAATATTCCCCCCCCCTTCAAAACAAATCTTGATTTTGCCACTTTTTTACAGATTATATATAATGAGACTTGTCCATCCATGGATTTTGGTAATTTTGGTAATGGGGGTCCCAGAACCAAACCCCTATGGTTACCAAAGGCCCATTGTGATTTGTCTAGCCAGGCTCATATGGGAGCAGGCAGTTTCTCAAATATCCTTCCCACAAGCCAATGTTCTTTTTATGTGTTTTAAAAGTAAGAACAATATGTTACCATTTAGGTATAATGAGTAATTTCGACTTGCTTCAGAAATGTTATTTTGTAAGGTCATTTGAGGGAATGTTTGGCTATTTGGAAGAAAATTGTTCTTACTTTAAAGGGTTTTGTGGTTGCTGTCAAGAACTCCAATGCTTAATCATAAAATGTTCCTTTCTTTTCCTGAACAGAATAAGAAGCAGCAACCTGGATTCCAACAGTCACACTATTTTATTGCATTGTATCGCTTCAAAGCCTTGGAGAAGGATGACCTGGATTTCCAGTGCGTAGTGGTGATAGTGGTGGAGATGGGGGGCAACCCAGTTGTTGGTCAGAATATACCAAATGTGGGTGGCACTGAAATCCATGCCTTGCAGAGCCAGGGCCCAACAGAGCTACTTAGAACGAACTTGGTGTCAAACACTAGAGGAGCTCTTCACCAACAAGTGTTGAATTTCAACTCCTATCATCCTTGACTTGCATGAGTCCTCACATTAGCAGATGATATTTGTTTTGTCGTGTTCCAAGTGTTCAGATTGGAGAAAGCAACTGGAGGAATCTTAGGGTACATCTATATTGGAAATAAGTGCACCATAACCTTATTGAAAAGGTAAAAATGATGTCACATCCATTTGGCAAATGTGAATCTCCATGGACATGTGGAGACCACCTTTTGAAAACCACTAGTCAAGAAAAGCATTGCCTTGTTAGAAGCCAACTCTTTCAACATGTGATATTCACAAGCATTCATGTAATGGCACAAAGGTAACTCAGCTGTTAAACTGAAGAACCATGTCTTTAAACTGCCATGGATAAAGACATGCCACTACAAAGATATATTTGGTTAGCAGAGGATGGTTTTATCTTTGAAGATGGAATCTGCAGTTGTCATTGCCCAAAAGATATACATTCCCTTAAAAACCGCTTAGTTAAAATATGCACTCAGAGATAAAAACAGTCTTCTTTGAAAAATAACATATCTTACTTACTAAAAAAACTTCTTGTATATATTCACTATACAGGCACATTTCTTATTAGAGTTTGGTGAGATAAGATGTAGTTTCTTCTCTGTGTTGAGTACACAGAGTATGAGACTTAATCAATTGTCCATAGTTTTTTAAGCATAGCTGTACTCACTGAAGTCCATAAATCATACTTCTCTACTAAAGTCCAAACAGCAATATGCATCCACCTCCACAGAGTCCTGATGCAAACTGTACTAAAGTCCAAACAGCAGCATGCATCCACCTCCACTGAGGTCTAAAAGCACACCGTACTAAAGTCCAAACAGCAACATACATGCATCTACCTCCACTGAGGTCTGATGCAAACTGAACACTAAATGAAGTCCCTAGTCTAAATCCCCTCCCACACCAAAGAGGTACAGTCAAACTGGCAAACCAAAATGCACATACAATATGGTTAACAATTATACACATTTACAAACAATTTGTGGAGGCTTGGAAGGTTGCTATTTCCAACAATCTACACTGTAGAAATAATACAGTTCGATACTACGAGGGTTGAATGAAAAGTAATGCCTCCACCTTTGTAACTCCTCAACAGATGGCAGTACTGGTATGCGGCAGGTACTGGCTTGTTCAGTAGACTCTCCTTTACAGTTCCATTTTGGTGGGAAGCCTTAGCATTGAACAGTTGTGTTGTTAAAGTGCAAAGTATGGAACCCTGCATAGACAGTCGGTCAGTGCGAGTTAAGCAATGTGCGGTCATTGAATTATTGACAGGAGAATGTGTCACCCCATAGGAGATTCCTCAGAGAATGCAAACTTTTTATGGTGATTGTGTTGATGTGAGTACTGTGCGTAGTTGGGCGAGTAAGTTTAAAGATGTTGAGGTGGGAACATCTGACTTGCATGACAAACAAAGAGTTGGACATCCTGTGACAGCAACCACCGAGTTTCACAAGCGAAAGTTTGACAGATTGATTCAGGACGATCGTTGTATCACCCAGAGAGAAATTTCAAGCATAATCGGCATTTCACAAGAATGTGTGGGTCACATTATTACTTTGCTTAGCTATCGGAAGATCTGTGCATGATGGGTTGCAGAAACAGAGTGTCTACTTTTTCCGTGACGGCTTCAGAAAACTTGTTCATCATTGGCAGAAATGTATCCAATTGTCTGGTGATTATGTGGAAAAGTGAATAGTGGTAGTTAAAGAGCACATTCTTGTTTACTAAAAAAAACTTCCTGCGTTTGATTTATTAAAATATTCCCATCCAAACCCAAGTAATGAAGGTGGAGGCATTACTTTTCATTCAACCCTCATACTTTAAGTGCCATGGCAAAATACTATGGAATCCTGGGAGTGAAATTTTGCAAGATCTTGGGTCTTCTCTGCTAAAGAGTGCTGGTGCCTCAGCAGACTACAACTCCCATGATCCCACAGCATTGAGATGCTGCCATTAAAGAGTTTCAAACTTCATCAGTTCTACAGTGTAGATGCACCCTTAGACTCCTATGGGCAGCTCAAAACACACAGATGTCATGTTGCTTGTAAGTCATATATTTCAACCTGAACCTGTTCTCTTTCAGTCCCGGAGACAAAATTGTCATTGTGGATGACTCCAATGAAGAATGGTGGCGGGTAAGAGGACTCTTTCTGCTTCCAGGATGAATCTGATTATTTGAAAGGAAAGTTGTTGTTGCTGTTGCTGTAGTAGTTAGTAGTTGTTGTTCTTGTTGCTGTTATACTGGAACAGGTAAACTTCTCTTCAAAACTCAATGAGTCTGCAAAGCACTGACCACACTATGGCTTTAGAGCTGGGCCAGAGAACCTGTGGGTCATAATCCTCACCTGAGTTTTTAGGGATTCATGTCCTGGCTATGAATGCCTAGCTCATTCCACAATTCCTGGACCCCTTCTCTGCGCTCTGCAAATCAGGAAAAGAGGGTGGAGGACTATGGACCTCATATTGATGAAGTCCAGTGTCATGATTCACCAACCTCCGTGGCAAATCTGGGTGGTAGCAGGGCAATCCTTGGACACCAGCTGAGACTTTCCCATCCCATGTGGGAAAATATTGCAACTCTGTTGAAGCCCTGTTGTTCCTAATGGAACACGGGACAGCTTCTGTGTTGGTGGCAGCAGCATCCCACCATGCTGCCTCCCCAGTTCACTCCTGTAGCCCCACCAAAAATTGCTGTTGTATGAAGGGTGGCATGGGCCTCCATGGGTAGACTGGGACAGAATCATCCTAGGATGCTTCTTCAGCCCTGTGTGATAAGGTAGCCCAGGTTTCCTAAAGAGGTGTTCTTCCATTATTTAGTTGCTCTGGAAAATCTAGAGATTTCTAGAAATTATATGCTAATCAAGTCTGCAATTATTCAAATCTTCAAAAGTCAAATCCACAAATGTCGAGGGCAAACTGTAAATGTAGGCTTGTGATCTTTCATCTTCTGCTATGATATTAATGATGTCTTGAAAGGTGCCCTGCCAGCTGCACCATTTTAATGTGTATTACATTTGCAGAGAAACACTATTTTAATGAGCTCACCAATGTGTTTCTTGGGGAGTCAGAATGGTTTAATAATAATAATAATAATAATAATAATAATAATAATAATAATAATACACTTGGGAAGTGTTCGACTTGTGATTTTGTGATACGAAATCTAGCATATAGATCTCATTTGCTGTGACATACTGTGTTTTTGTGTCAGTTAAATAACAATACACTTTATTTCTATTCCTCTATATCTCCCTGAGGGGACTCAGAGCATATCACAGTATACACATATATAGGGAAACATACATGCCTTTTATACAGTAAACAACAATTACATAAAATATACAAACAAAGATAAAGGTTTCCCTTTCCATCTCCGGTGTCTGGAGGTGATGCTCAACTCTGGCCATGGGAAGATGCAATTTTTCCATGCCGAGAAGCCCATTGTTTGCCAGCATGGCTGCATGGGCTCCTTTTACCTTCCCGTTGAGGTGGTAGCTATCGATCTACTCACATTGCATGCTTTTGAACTGCTAGGTTGGCAGAAGCTAGGGCTAACAGCAGGAGCTCACCCTGACCCATGCCTTCCGGTCAGCAAGTTTTCTGCAGCTAGTGGTTTAATCTGCTGTGCTATCATGGCCCCTAGCTATTTAAGTGTTGAATAAAGATTGTGGTAGACCTGGGTTCGAAATCCTGCTCAGCCATGGAAACCCACTGGGTGAGCCAGGCAAGTCCCATTCCATTAGCTTCAGAGGAAGGCAAAGGCAAACCCCTCTGAATAAATTTTGTCAAGAAAACTCTGTGATAGGTTCACCTTAGGGTTTCCGTAAGTCAGAAACAACTTGAAAGCCCATAACAACAGCTATGGTGTGTAATGGAGTTCAACTGATTTTTGGTAAATGAGCAGAGACAAAGGAAGTATTTGAGAAGAGATTCAGTAGAGGAAAGGGCTTTGGGATTAGTTTCCTAGGTAGGGAGCACTTGCAGGGAATAGGGAATATGGGGTACATAATTCTCACCATTCCAGTCAATTTTTTTCTGGTCTCAGTTGCTATTTGAGCAAAAATATTAATTGAGAAAGAGCAGGGCAGAATAGGTGGGATGGAAGGGTGAAGCATCCCTTTCTGCCGTGCTTGTCCTCTCTGCAAACCTCCCCCCATTTCTCTGTGGTTATCATTAGTAGCAAGCACAGTATTTCAAACCTCATATATGCTGCATAACACACAATTTCATCCTCAGCCAATAACCTGTTATGAATATAAAGTCCGTCCTGTTTTATGTGGTAATAAACTGAATATTTTTGCAAAGCGGTTCAAGGAAATCGGCAAAATTAATTTTAAGTCTCCCTCCATTGAAAATGCTGCTTTTGTTAAGGTTCAATGGCTTTTCTCTCGCAATATTTTTCAGTGTTGTCCATTAGAAAGTGCAGAGCAACTACACTGAAAATAATGTAATGAGGGATCTGGATGGGTGCCCATGTATAACTCTGGGGGAGAAGAAATCAAGATATCTCACATTAGCGAGAGAAGTGTTTTCTGAAAATATAGTTACTATATTATGTGTTTTTACCTGTTGGGGCAGGAAGACATAAGAGACACAGAGAGAAAATGACAGAGAGAGATGGGGGAGGGATTTGAAGGTCTCCATATCTGCTTTTTGGTGGTGGAGATGGAATAATCAGGAATTTTGGCACATTGACTTCTTTACAACTTACCCCTCCTGTGTGGCTTTCCTAGGGCAAGAAAGTTGGAGACATTGGGGACAAAATTGGATATTTCCCACCAAACTTCATTATCCGGGTGCGTGCAGGAGAGCGGGTACACAAGGTGCTGCGTTCCTTCGTGGGCAACAAAGAGATCGGACAGATCACACTAAAAAAGGATCAGGTATGTCACTTGGAGGAGCATTGTCAAATCAAAACTTCGCTACCACCACACACACACATACACCTTCATCTATACAACTGGAGAGGTATAATTTTGGATAAAATGTTTTGGGACGTGTGGGCAAGGAAGTGGTGGTTCAGCTCCCTGTTTGAAAAAAGCTTCTTCCTTCGCCTTTTGTTTCACTCCATGAATCCTCTCGGGTATTTCTTCGGGAAATAAAATCCATTGTCATTGTAGCATGTATTTCTGGATTTATGGAAAACCTGAAGTGAGCTTATCACAGGTTTTTCTTAACTGAAAATGTTCAGAAGTTGTTTGCCCTTGTCTTGCTCTGAGGTGGAGAGAGTGTGACTTACTCAGTGGGTTTTCGTGGCTCAGGCTGGATCTACACTGCTCTGTATCCCAGGATCTGATCCCAGATTATCTACTTTGAACTGGATTATATGAGTCTACACTGTCAGATAGAATAACAAGATAATATGGGATCAGATCCTGGGATATAGGGCAGTGTAGACCCAGTCTCAGTGGAGAATTAAATTCTAGTCTTTTGTTCTCGCTCTCAAACCACCCCACCACACTGTCCCTCAGTAAAAGCAATGCTTGGCTGCAAAGCTAATGATAACAGATATGGAAAGTTATTAACTTGAGAGGCCTCTTAAAAGCAACCCAGTAAAAAATAACAGAAACTCCACTAATACAATAGGCTCCTGGGGTTTGGTTCCAGGACCCTCTGTAGATACCGCAAATCCATATTTATATAAGTACTGTAGGCCCTTGGTATTTGGCGTTTGGTTTGAGAACTCTCTATGAATACACAAATCTGTGGATGCTCCAGTCCCATTATATACAATAGTGTAGTAAAATGATATATTTAATATAAAATAGCAAACTGAAGGAATGCTTATGTGATTTTTTTGGGGGTGGGGAAAAATTTTCAGACTATGGATGGTTGAATCTGTGGATATGGAGGGTGAATGAAATCAGTAGGTTTCTGTCTATACCACCCACATGCATGCATGCACGTCTGCACATCTAAAACCAGGGGAAAGCACATTTGTTACTGTTTTCTTCTCACACAAGAATCCAAACTAGAAATTGTGTAGCACAGGGTGAGGCAGCATAACTTCCTTTTTTAAAAATGCGTGTCATTCAGTCGGTTGAAGATGTAGTGGTCTCATTCGAGAGGCGGGAGTATAAAGTTTTGTCCTGACAGTTCAGTCATCATCATGCATTGGAACAGTGAGGAGCATGCTTTTGCCGTTGAGGCCTAATTTTCAAGCGGATTTGGAGTGGCCGGCCTGCTCTCCAGATTTGGCCCCTTGTGATTTTTTTCTATGGGGTTTTTTGAAATCCTGTGTTTATGTGAACCATCTAAGGACCCTACAAGATTTGAAGACCAACATCCAGGAAGAAATTGCCAATGTAACGCTTGCTATGCTGGCAAGAGTCATGACAAACGCCAGAAATCGGTTTACTCAGTGTATGGAGAATGGAGAATGGGGGACATCACCTACCTAATTTGATCTTCAAAACTACGTAAAACAAAACTTTAGGTATGCGCCTACATTATAAAAAAAATCTGATTCATACAATGGGTTTTATTAAGTTTTGAAAAAAGGAAGTTATGCTACCTCACCCTGTATAAGGAAGCCTACCAAATCCCCAGAAATATGTATTCGTTCATTTTCAGAAAGACTGATTTTGGTCAAATACACCAGTCTCCTCCCAGGCATTTTTGAATTGCCTCCACAGAGGTCTGCCCAAGACATTTGGTTGCCTCAAACAAAACAGCAAAGAGCAGTCACTCACTCCCCATATCTTAAAATCAAAGTTCACTAAATCCAAGTTATTTCGCAATCTGAATCATAAAATTCTTCATACAACTTTTCCAATTTTTACAATAACAACAGCATCAGCAATGTTCTGCCCTTTTATGGAAAATGCAATTTGGAAATAACACTTTCAGCAACAGTCTCGTCACAGATATATAAACTTCACTTGTCTAGTTTCCAACAGACCTCACAACATCATAGATGTGGATGAAATGTCAGGAGAGAATGCTTCTAGAACATGGCCATACAGCCCAGAAAACTCACAGGAACCCAGTCTTTCCTATATTTGTAGTAACATTTGGTTTATGTAGCTTTTAATCTGGGCCGCCTGAAGATCAAGACCTTGTTTCTTCAGGCTGGGGCTGAGGAACATGTGATGTTGCTGGACTGCCATTTCCATCAGCCCTAGCTAGCTTAGCTAAGGAATGCTCCAACCATGTCTGGTGGGTCACACAAACCCCATATCTTGCATCTGTTTTAAACTCAGTCACACATGTTGCTTTGTTGTTTGTACCTAAATGTATCTCAGGAAACAAGATCTTTTTCTCCACCGGTTTCTGAGAGAGTGCAACCTTATAACCCCAAGCAACACATTCAGCTCACCTTAGCCCAGATCACCTATACTATTTTTTGCTTCATTTTGTTACAGATTGTGGTGCAGAAGGGCGAGGAACTGAATGGCTATGTGAAAGTCTACACAGGCCGCAAGGTGGGGCTCTTTCCTGCCGACTTCCTTCAAGAGATCTAAGGCTCTGTCCTGCCCTTTGTAATGGTTTTGTAGCCAAGGCCAAGGAAGGCCAAGTTGTTTCTTTGGAGAGAGATTCTCAGCTGCCAAGAACTCTCTGCAGTGGAGTTGGGCTCCGTGAGTTCCTGTGGCCCAGAGTGAAGACATCCCACCAAGCCTTGCATCTTTGAGCATAAGGAAAAGAATGCATAATGTTGACATCTGAAGGGCCTTGAACTCTGGTTGGGTGGCAGATTCCTGAATGAATTTAGCCAGTGTCCCTTCAGGATAGAGCCACGGTGGTGCTAGGATGCAGTCAAAGCTTCCTGCTTCCTGTCTGCAAAAGAAAACGGATAGTGATTGTTCACGCTGACTGCCAGACTTGACAAAATGACATTTGTTGCTGATGCCCCTTGCAGGTGGCACCTTGCTTGTGTGTGCATGTGTTTACTCAAGAGACAATTCAAGTGACTGTCCTTTTGCTGACAGTGGCAGATCTGGCGCCTGGAGTTACTTGGATTGCTTAATTTTTGTTATGTTTTGCCACTACATGTTACCGCTCTTGATTCCTCACTGTCCTACCAACCTTGAGATAAAGGTGGAAAATTTGAGATGATCATCCAACAAAACGGCTGAATTGTTTGGGAGGGTTATGGACTGCTCAACTCTAGTTATGTTGAAATAATGCACCTCTCTCATTATCCTCTTCATCTATTTTCTTACCATTGTATTAGTTTTGGTTGTGTGAGAGAACTCATGTCATATACAATAGTAATTTTGGCAGCATACACTTATATATGTTTCTTTATACATATGTACTGTCATGGCGCTATCTGTTGACACATGATTGGAGAAAGAGTAACTAATGACCTTATCACATGTGGAAATTTCAGTGTTCTAGGATGCTTCTGCCTCAGTTGATTCACAGAGCCCCATGCCACTCGTCACATGACATAGACTCACATCTGGTGGGGTTCTGTGGCTCAACTGGAGCAAAAGCATCCTAGTATGCTTTGCCACAAACTTGGGAGCTATCACGGGGGGAAGCTGCATTTTGATGGGGAAACGTCAGCTGCTGGTGAGGCAGGGCACGGGTGCTTGGATTACCCTGCTCCCCACTCCTCCGATTTGCCATACAGGCTGGCAAATTGTTCTGGAGGACCTCTTCAAAGTGATGAGGTCTGTAGTCTCCAATAACCTGACTATAGTAAAATGAGGGCAGCCTAGTGTGGAAAAATTGGTTCTGCTTCTACATTTTGAGACAACTCAGGAGCACTTAGAGTCCATGTTGTAAGGAGGTCTTCAGATGTTAGGAAAATGAGGCCACAGAAGGTACATAAGTGATATCTGGACACCCTCCCTTGGTTCTACTGAAGCTATAACTCACGTGACTATTTGTACATCTCCCTCAAAGGAAAGAGATGCTATGCATACCTGGAACTCATGAATCTTTTGGTGATGAGAGATTCTCCCCCATCAAGAGATTATTTATTTATTTATTTGCCATATTTATATCCCGCCCTTCTCAACCCCAAAGAGGGCTCAGACTCTCCCCCATGCAAATTATGTAATATGTATATTTGTAATATCTGAAGCTGTCTCTCCTGGAGTGATTGGGAGGAATACTTATTCTTCTCATTGGGTTATTGGAGGGCACTTATGTTGGTACCGATAGCGCTCTAGAACCTGGTATGTGAGCAGGTGGCACCAAGATATTGCTAGGTTTTGGGCCTGCTGAGGGAGTTTACTTGATAAATAGGACTTCTGCGAAGAGATGGAACAAGGTTCAGCCACCCTAGTGTAACAAAAGCCCTTAGCTTCTCCCCATTCATGAATGCTTGCATAGTAAAATACACATCCCTTATGCTCAATGGTTGCATGCTGGGCCTTGCTTTCATCCTTGTCCATTGATGTATTCATGCTTGCTTTCATGAAGGCCAAGAAGTCCATCAGGATTGCAGACACATGGCTCTCAGCTAGTAATATCCACCACAGCATCCTTGCCCCAAATCATACTTACTTTTTTTGTATATATGTTGTAGTTCTCTTACCAGTGTGGCATGTTCATAGCTCTACAAGATAACAGCTGTTGTCCTCAGTTTCCTCTCCCATGTTGTCATCTCACTAACCAGGTCTTCACAGCCATCCATGAACTCCTCTAGTTCAGAGGCATCCATTGACTACTTCTGGTTCCGAGGGTTTTACAGTACCCTGGTTATTTCCAAAGTGTGAATACCCTAAAGGCACCAGATCTTATCTGATCTTAGAAGCTAAGCAGGGCCAGCCCTTGATGTGAAGTCATCAACATATACCAGGTGTTTTGAGCTATATTTCAGAGGAAGGAACTAGCAAACCATCTCTGAGTAAGAAAGGAAGTCCTATGAAATTTATAGGTTGACAGGTGGCTTGACATCACATAGGCAAACAAACAATCCCAGTCTTTAAGTCCTAGATTATTTTATCTCAGTCTTCTTTTCCTAAAAGATCTTTTCTTTGCCATTTGTAGAAGTTTTAGGGCTAAATGTGTTTTTCTCATGTTGTTATGCGCCCACAAGAGGGTGCTGACATACCCATAAGAATCTGCTGTGTATAATTGTTGTCTGTTTCAGTCCTATCTCTTTCCAAATCCTATGATGTACACATATACTGTGCAGTGTAAATTTTTGTTACAAGATGGGTGTTTAGTCTAGTTAAGTCAGGCATCCCCAAACGGAGAACCTCCAGCTGTTTGGGCCTCCAATTCCCAGATGTTCAAGCTTGTTCAATTGTCAGGAATTCTGGGAGTTGAAGGCCCAAACAGCTGGAGGGCCGCAGTTGGAGGATGCTGAGTTGAGTGAATGTTCCTTGTCTTCTGATCGAGTCCTTATCCACTCTTAATGGATAAGAACTTGATCAGAGACAAGCTAATAAATTCTTTTTTAGTCACGTGAACACATGTTTGCTTATTACTGCTCCTGCACCCAATTTATCCCAAAGAAATGAAGGATCCCGAGGTTGTATAAATAGGAGCATTTTAAAATTATTTGCTTCATAGCTGAGAAGAATCAGAATTGTCATTCATTCATTTATTCATCAACGAGCCTAAAAGGGACAGGCAGACACTTACCCACCCACCTTTTTGGGCTGAAGCAGGATCAACTAAATTCCTGAGCCAAAACACAAAATATGCATAAGCAATATAACTTATTTATTTATAAAAAGCAGGAGAAATAAAGTCAGGTATGTAGGTTAAGATGCAGCCAAACCTGTCAAAGGTTTGACGTTAAAGGTAGAAGAGTTAATATAACAGAGAATCTCATGAACATCTGAGCGTGTGTAGAGTGTGAACACCACATTGAACCAATGTACAAACAAACAGTTTGGACACATTGTGAAATGTTATGTGCAAATCACATTCCCGGAGTACAATTCAAGGAATTGGTGTGTATATGTGTACATGGTCTGTAACTGTGTTGAATGTACTATGTAACATTCGTAATTAGAAAGAATTTCAGGCAGATTTCAGGCAGAGGGAAACCTAGGGATCCCTCCACCTAATGAAACATCCCCACAATTTATTTATTTATCATGTCAGAAGTGAATTGGGGGTACAGTTATAATGTATTTAAAAACACAAACAATTTAAACTTGGCATTATACTATATGTCCTTGTTACCAGAAGCTGGCCACTTGGAGTGCCTCTGGTGTTGCTGTAAGAAGATCCTTCATTGTGCATGTATCAGGGTTCAAGCCGCATTGTAGTATGTGGTCTGTGTTTTGCTCTCCACCACACTCACATGTTGTGGACTCCGCTTTGTAGCCCAATTTTTTAAGGTTAGCTCTGCATCTCATGGTGCCAGAGCGCAGCCTGTTCAGCGCCTTCAAAGTCTTCTGTGTGCAAAGGAGGTAGTTTCTCATTTGGTATCAACCACTGATCAAGGTTCTGGGTTCTAGCCTGCCATTTTTGGACTCTTGCTTGCTGGGGTGTTCCTGCGAGTACCTCTGTAGCTCTTAGGAAGCTATTTCTTGATTTAAGACATTGGCTTACTGGCTGATATCCGAACAGAGGGTGGGACAGAGATTTCAATGCCTTGGTCCTTTCATAACAGGCTATTTCCCTGTGGATGTCAGATGGTTCAAGTTCCCACAAAACAGTATAATTTCTCCAGCGGTGTTGGGCAGTTCCCCACCATGAGCACTGGGCAGTTCTGATTTGCCAAGCAGAGTGAAGGGACAAAAGATAAACAAAGGACTACTTGCTGCTATAGATGTATGGACTCCAGTTAGTTTTTATGTCTTGCAATGTTGTGAACCTATGTGACTTTTGAGTTGGCTGATTTTGCCTATGCTGCCTTTTAACTGAGCTGGGATCTGAGTCATGTGTGGGCAAAGAGGAGGAGAAGTTGGCAAATAGGGTTAATTTGCACTTCTTAAGAGATGTGTGCAGGAAGTGTTTGCATAGTCCTCTGATCAGATGAGATGGCTTGAGCAAAGAAAACACACGCAAGTAGGGTGTTTGAAACGACTTTGAATATACATCTCTGAAATCTTTTCAGTACTGCTTCTGTGAGTGGGTGATGGGATGGGGAAATGGACAGTTAAGATGGAGTTAGATTTGGGTAAGGCAAGAGAATTTGACCATATTTTGCCTCGAATATGAGCATATCCCAATATCTGCAACTTTACAAGCTGTTTCTTAGAACCCGAAGGACTGCATTATGATAAGAAGCAGGAAATGAGATGCTTCTGGGGTTTTTTTGGGGTGTGAACATATTTGAAAAAAATGTCTGAGTACATATGCCTATATAAAATGGCGTATATAAAGCTAAGGATATAATACAAATGTCTCTGTCTACAATTTCCTCGCAAAAGTGGGGAATTTGGTGTCTGGAGTAGAGTGTAAGCATCTTGAGATAATCAGTCATTTATTTCTGTCTTTGTCTTTCAATATGAAAATCTCCAATCCATAAACTCCATTGGAGATAAACTTGAAACAATGTCTAGTCATTGCCCTGTGGGATTTGGAACTGAGATGGGGCTGAGCAGGAATTCCAGATGTCATGACATGGCGTGAATTGTCAGTATTCTTACTTCCTAGGAGCAGAATAAAATAGATGAACTCAGTAAACAAAAATGGGTATCTGTATATTTTATTCAAGTCACAGACTCTGGTTTTTCTTTACTTAAGCATTTGGATGATGCAGGTGCAGAAATAGTAACAGTCCTGGGGTACAGTCACCCCACATGTACAGGTTTGAGTCCTATAGTCTTTCAAATTATGGGGTTTCACATAATGTTTGTCGGTTTGTCAGAATTCAAAAATAGCTAATTATCAACAATGTGTTACCCTATTGTTTTTCAATAATTAAAGCATAACCTAAGTTACAATTTTGTAGTGTAACTGTAATCTGTTTCAAGTGCTATTTTTCAGAGGATGTGTGTGTGACCAGTCATTTGTAATATTATGATCTTTTATAAAAAGTAATACAGTATAACCCCTGGTTTCCCAGAACTGGTACCTGCAATTTCAGTTATTATGTCTCCAAAAGATATAATCAGGTATTTTCTGGATCTTCAAGTGCAATTGTCTCGTATTTTTCTATTGTATTGGTTTTGCTGTTAACTGTACTTTCACATCTCCATGCTAAGTCTATAGATGTATCCCTGCAGATATGGAGGTTGTACCAAAATGAAAAAAAGGAATTACTACAGTCACTTTAAAGAAATAGACAAAGTTACTATCTTTCATGAACTGCAATTACAATGGTAACTGACAGTCTGAATACCTTGAAGGTACCAGATCCTGTCCAATCTTGGAAGCTAAAGATTATATTTAAGAGCCCTTTGCCATCTCTTTTCATCACTCTCAAGTATAAAGCTATGGGATCTATACAAAAGGTTCCATCTAGGCTTGCCCAGTGTATAGCTAAATATCATAAAGCGTGGTTAATATATGGATAACAGACCACCAACGAATTCCTGGTACTCTAGTCTATCTTTTTCCTCTTAAATAGCCTGGATAGCAAAATCACCTCTGAGTATTCCTTGCTGAAGAAAACCCTATGCAATTTAT